TCCATCCCTTCCTTCCTTCCTTCCTTCCTTCCTTCCTTCTTGAATTATCTATGATAGCTCATGTTTGAGGTATGTCTGATAACTTTGTAAATTGTAATTTACATTTAAATAGCTGTTTTAAATGGAATTTGGGCTCTACCAAAACTTAAACTTGATACTAGTATTATTGTGCGCATTTGAAATCAGTGTAGCTAATGGGAGTTGTATTTTTTACTTACTGACAATTTAATAGATGAATTTCAAGTCATAAAACATTTTGGAAGTTTTTGAAAAAATCACAGCTAAAAATGACAGGTGMTGTTCCTATCTGTCTTTTAGTATCTGTGTAGCCAGATTGGGTAATTTGGAAGGGACTGAGTTTYAGTGCATGGAAATCTAGAAATGCAAAATCGTAGCACATTTTAACATCTTGTCTTTAGAGTGAATAGCTATGACTAAAGTCAGACAATATTTACCCATTAATTTCATGAAGCAAAGCTCTTTGTTTAGCTATGGCTTTGATCTTTGCTTCAAATATTTCAATTCTAACATCTTCCTGGTCTTCTGTAGTACATTGAAAATATTAAACAGATTATTGTACGTAGGACTTCATGCTTGCATGTGCATTTTCAAACATCTATTGCGTGACTAGATTTGACACAAATCTTGGCATGTTSTACTGGAAGATACTGCAGCTAATGTCTCTTGTAATTTGCTTTGTTGGCTCAATTAAAAATTATGCACTTGTGAGAAGGACTAGAAGAATTGTATAAATCTTTACTGACAGAATTGTTTTCAAAAAATGTAAGTTTTGCTTCTCACTGTAAACTGGTAGATGAAAAATATATTTAATTACAGAGAGTACTTTAAAAAAATTGGCTCCAGGTTATATAACTGTCTTGCTTTTATTTTCCATTCCTTTCAGTGCTTATCAAGCAAAATGGCTCATGTAGATCTCCTSTCTGCAAACTGAATGACATTAATACTTGATCTTTTAAAGAAACCTAGGAATGATGCATTCCTGGACTAGTGCCAAAAAGGAAATAGAAAAGAAAGTACTAATTTGAAAGCTGCTAATTTTCTCAGACTGTTGCCCTTCCTGAAACCATGTGGTTCTGATGCAGTTTTGTCARAGTTGTGAAAACAGCAAGCTGAAACCCACCTACAAAACTGAGCAATGCAGGATTGTCATTGAAGAGGATCTTGATTCTCTAAAATTTTCATTGTTTAAGGGTGGCAGAATGGTTCAGACCATTCATAAAGAGATCTGAACATTTCTAGACTATTAATTCATATTCAGCACAGATTTGTGGGCCTGGAAGGAGATCAAATGTAAGTGCTTGGTGCTCTCTGAAAAGAATTGGGAGTTGCAGTTTGCTTTCTGGATAGATTTCTGTGTCACTTGGAAAACCTCCACTTTCAAGTATGTTGCTCTATCTGCTCTCTTTTCTTACTYTGTTGGTCTTGCCAGAATTCAGAGAAAAGATATTACTGATATTGTCAGGGTGGTTTGATCTTTTTTCATAATGTATTCTACGGGAGCAAGTGGGGTTTTKGGGGGGATGGGGAGGAGGTTAGATGGGGTTTTTTGCATGCCCTGGCCATGGAAGTTGAGGGAGTAATAAGGCTTCTTGGTTCTGCTCTTCCATGTGGGAGAAACAGGCAGGTTGCCTTTTACACAACCCTGCGGATATCCAGACTTTAGTCATGACATGACACTTACCCTGTCATTACAGGTGTTTGAGGGAAGGCAGGAGTGGGCCAGTAAGCAAACCCTCCTAAAAATCCCTATTCAGGTGTTTTATAAAGGAGATGTTCCAATGTGGATTTACACGTTCCAAATGCAATGAGACTTTTGGGTGATGCTCCAAATGCAATGAGCAGCAGAGCATCATCCCTATGGTTACCCTTTTCCGTATTGTCCAAAGACCGGGGAAATTAGAAGCCTCACTTTCTTCCTTGCTTTTGTTCACCTGTAGGATACTCACAGGGTATAGAAAATCTATGACTGTCTTCCTGTCTTTCCAGTTTGATGCTAAATTCATGCATCTGCTGCCAAGGCCCCAGAGATCACTGCTGCTTCAGTCATTCCTCTGAAGTCTCTGAGCAGTTTTCTTTCTAGAATAAATATTTTCCTTTCCTTTAATGCAAATACAACATTTAGAAAAGCAGTYGGACCCAGGCTTGGCAGCTTTACGCACAGTGTGCTGTTGTTTTTGTACAGGCTTCTTACAAACCACTGCTGAAACAGGTAGTGGAAGAGATCTGTAATTCCGAGCGACCTGATCCTGTTGATATCGAGCATGTGTCGTCAGGCCTCACCGATCTCCTCAAAACTGGATTCAGCATGTTCATGAAGGTAAGCCGGGCTTCTGGAGCCCATCTGTAGGATTTTCCAAAGACCAGAGCATAACCATGCAATAATCCATTTTATATACTTGAACTGGTACTGTTCAGAAGAGCCTAAGGGGCAGTTAGGAAGGTTGAATCCTTATGGGCAGCTACAAATAGGTGAGGCATCACATTGCAGGCACGGAATGGGCAGCACCTGCTGAAGCAAAACAAGAGGAATGGAGCCGACCAGACATGGAGAGAAGGGTTGTTACAGAGCAAATCAGTCTCAAGCACAAAATCTGATGTGCCTGAAGTCCTGCTTTCAGCAGTCTCCACCTAGCATTGCAGTGGATTTTCAAAATGCTCTGAAACAGAAGAGGATAGCTGTAGAAACAGGGACTCAGTGTTCCTTCTATTTGTGTATGAGAACTGAAAAAAAAAAATGAAAAAAAAAGATGTAGTTTCGCCAAAAATAGTAGAAGACAGTTGCTCAACTGTCAGAGTAATCAAGTTGATGCACACAAGTGATTTCTGAAATGCTTGATTTTATTTGCCAGTAACTCTCACAGTTGCATTTATTTCRTGGTATTTGGTTTTGTTTTATTAAGTAGGAGCATAGGTTTTTAGCAGGACCATGGCTTTCTTCACCAAAAAACAACAGCAAGAAATATATGTATTCCAGAAAGTCTGAATGTTCATGTCTGCCTATGTCTGTATGTGTGTGTCAGAAGTGAATTACAGAGATATCCAACTCACAGAGACCCCCATTGAATTTTTTGCTGCACTAACATCAAACAGAAGATGTCGAAGGCAGGATTAACTGAGATCCAAACAGATGGGGGGAGGTTCAGGGAAGCAGTGAGGCAGGATCAATCAGCCTGGCAGCCAGTGTCTCCATTTCTAGTTACTGCCTGATGTCAGGAGAGGAAGAGGAGGAGGTAGCTTTGTGGAGGTTTGCAGAAAGTGCCTCACAAGCTGGAGGCAGAGCACAGGAAAGAACACAAAATATGTTCCTGAGAATATAGCAAATGGCTAGTGAGGGATGTAACTATAAGCTAAATTTTCCGTAGGAGAAGATTGAACTTTTCTATACAGAATAGACAAGTTGACAGCTTGAGGGAGGTCTCTTCCTTGCCTCTTTCTCCATCAAGGTGTGACRGGCATGAAAAGAATTGAAATCAAAGGCAGCTTCTATTAGATGTGAAGAAAAAGCAGAATATTGTAGAGAACCATAAGAAAATAGTAAGATGGTAAAAATACCGGATGCATCTGCGATGTAAAATCTGTGCTTGTATCCATACAATAAGGGTGTTGTACCAATGGAAGCCTGACCCAGGCAGGTAGATAAAAGACTGATCTCTGAGATGCTATATTTATTTGCAAGATTTAAACAACSTGTTTATGAAGACTGGGAGAGAGTTTTAAGATGGTGCCAGATTAATGGGCCTGTTAAGAGTAAGATGATTTGGTATCCATAGCACTTGAAAAGTAAGGAGCAAAAGACTTTAAATGCTAATTAAGTCAAACTAAACATAGCTAGACCATGAGACCACCATGAAGAGATGTTAGAGACGGGTTTATTTTGGAGAAGAGGAAACCAATCTGAGTTAAAGAGGTGGGTCAGCACTGGGATGGTAGCTGAATATACAGCCAAACTGTCAGCAGATTAGTAGGAGAGAAGGTGGAGAGAAAAAAATAGAAAAAAAAAAAAAAAGGAGAAAAGGACCTGCTGAGGCTGCTTTGAACACCACTGGTACTTGAAGGGCTGCAGGAGTGATGAGTAAGGACACATGCTGAGAGTGATTTAGAGAGGCAAGCAAAGGTTATTGTTATTTCATTGCAGGAGTATCAAGACAATCTCGTAAAGTCAACTCAGACTCTCTGAAATGTTTATCTGAAAACTTAGCTTGAACTCAGGTTTCCTCAGTCCTGTGACTGGACATGTGCTGGCAAACTGTGCTCTAGCTCCTGAATTTCTGTCATACAGAGAAGGTAGGGAACCGCTACAGCATGAGGAAAAGGGAAAAACAAGAAAAAGCAGTGAAAGAAAAGCAGAGGACAGAAAGCAGGAGATGAAAGAAAACAAAGGTGAAATCTTCCTCTTTCTCATCTTTCCCTCATTCTTATTTTGTTTCTTTTAGGTTGCTATGATTAATAAAACTTATATTAGGAGTAGAGCGTTGCATTTGCTTAGGAGGAGGGAACTGCTGTGATCCAGACCACTATTTAAATAAAAGTCCTGGGCTGAAATCTCTCCAACAGGGGAGTTAAGGTGAATGTGGGATGAGCAACACCCTGTCAGTAGCCTCTGCCCCAAGGAGGTGCAGAGGTGGGTATCCAGAGGAGGATGCAGAGACCCAGGCCAAGCCCAGGCTGCTCTCCCTTGCAGCAGCGAGAGGTTCAGGTTGTGTCTGAGCAAACGCAACACTTGCTCTGCTGGCAATGGGTGCCAACACATATCCAAAAAGCAAAAAAAAATGTATTTGGGTAGGGAAATGGACATGGAGGAGACACAGAAAGAGAAGTGCCACGGTGCTGCTGGGACGGATACGTGCCATCATTCAGTCCCTCTCCATCTTTTGTTATCTCTCTTCTCTATTTACAGTCTTGTTTGTGCTAAAAAAAGCTCTTAAATTTTTGTGTGACCTAAGTCTTTCTTATCAGTGTTTTCTGTTGGTCTTGTTGTGCTTACAACTTTTTTTCCTTGTGCCAGTTCAGATGTGTCTGTTTTCTTTGAGAGCTTTTCAGCCACGCTTATTGCACCAAGTACCTACATCTCTGCCAGTAATAAAAATATCCTATTGTAAGGAATATATAACAGCAGAGCAAGTAAACATTATGTAGGATGAATAAGTCATGAACATCATCACTTATCTCACAAATATGTGTTCTCRCTTACTCATTTAGTTTATAGTTTGGCATATTGGCTAGTGTTCCAATACTGTGTGAATGAGTTTCTGACCAACCTGTATTTCTCACACAAGAGGGTCTTTTCTATTTACTGCAGCATCAGCACTGTAATTATTTCATGGGGTTCCTTGCATTTATATTTCCTCTTCAATTCCTGAATATAAATGCCGACTCAAATGAAAATGCTTCAGTAAGTGATAAAAGCAGCTTTAGGTGTCCCAGATCTATCAGGCTGCAGCCACCTCCTGCAATGCTGCTGCACAAGAAAAGACTTAATTTCTTATTSAAGTCCTGCCTCCTAAGCCAGTCCTCTGGCATAGGTAACCCTGCTTTTTAAATTGCTTCSTGTCAGAAAACAGTATTTGAGAACACGCAAAGGGTTTGAATGACTGAGTCGCAGTCCAAGGAGACTTTCCCTCTCCTGTCATGATTAAATGCCTCYCTTATCTGAAAGACTCAAATTTGTTAAATCAGGGAAGAATGTTAAAGGTACCTCTTATCCCAGAGCATTTCCCTGGCTAATGTGTTTGTTCTGAAGCATCTGTAAACAGAGGCAAAGGAGCCCAAAGGCAGGATGCAGGTGTCCAGAGGAGTTAATAGGGAGGGAAAGGCCTGTGCACCTCATGGATCCCGCCTTTTTCTGCAGCTCCAGACCACATGTGGTTTACAGGGATCTAAGCAAGACCACTGCATTGATAGCAAGTGATAGCACAGCAGTCTAGGTTCAGAAGATTGATGTGTTTTCCTGTTACTTTGTCCAGCTATTCAGCTGCATGGATTGGTGTGTGACTGATCACAAACAACAGATGCCCAGGTGCTGGTTTTCTGCTTGCCTTCTAGACCAGTTGAAGCTGTTTCTGCTGACCTGGAAGCAGTGGTGTTTGCTTTTAATGCCTGGCATTTTGAACYGAAAGTGAATTTCATTCAGGAATTTTTGCAAAATTAAAATCTTAATTTAACTGAGATTTGCAGGACCTAAAGTGTTCGGAAACAAACTAGTTTAAGGAGTGTTCCAGAATGTGCRTGTGGCTTTTTGCTGAGGTTCATTTCAGTTCTTCTTCTGTATTACAGAAATGAGATGCGTTTAGCTACATGGAGCCAGTTCCTTCAAAAGAGACAGCCTTGGGTGGTTGTATTATCAAACAAAAAAATCTTGGCAAAAACTTACATTCTTAACCCAGCCAGATATTTTGTACCCAGAGCATTGTCCTCCCTCAAAACATTTGTGCGTAGCATAAGAAAATTGCAGATTCCAAAACCCTTTTCATTGCAGCTTTAATTTAATTTTGAGTTTGCATGCCTAATAGTATTTTTAATATGCATTTCTGGAATTTGTGGTTTGAACTTGAGAAAAATATTAAGTTTTATACAGGGAACATGTGTTTGGATCTAGGCTTATTTTGACTGAACACAATGATTTGTCAAGATACTTTCTCTTCGCTATGGATGAAGGCCTGTGCTTTCTAATTAATATTACTGGGTTGGATGTCCATACAGTTTTTCAACGTTATATGTGCATACTGACAATGAATTGTCACTAGGAAAGGTATATATTAAGAAAGAGGGACCTTATTCAATAGGAAGCTTCTGGAGTTTGAGGTCTTCATGTAAAAATCTTCATGCAATGGAGTGGAGTAGTCTGTTCTGGTGACAGGACTAGGAGTGGAATAGAGCCTGCAAAAGGAATAAACACTGTTATTCTCTGTCACCTTGAGGTGCAGGACCACAGCATTTGGTTTTGCCAGCCTTCATGTTCATCCTCTCTGCACTTAGTTCTTTAACCTTGTTTCRCTGCTTACAGCAATTATGACATGAATTTCTTTAATATTTGAGCAAGTAACARTTCGAGCTGGCCTTCTTTTTAGGTAAATATTTAGATCTTACTCAAACTCCACATGGTATCTGTAATTAGGCAGTGGGCTTTTTTTTCCYCTTAAGGTTAATGCTGTGTTTTATGCAGGTGATAAGCAGTGTAACGTGGGAGAAAAGAGTAGTAGTATGGGGAAGTGGAYAGAGAGAGAGTCATTGTAAGGTCTGGTGTGTTGCTTTAATTGCTCTTGTAGCTTAAATGAAGACTGGTAAATGTAGCACAAGGATTGCAGGATTTGCAGAGTTGTAGTATGTGAATGGAAGTGGCTAGGAGAGATGATTAAGAGAGTAATAAACTCACGGCACACAAATCCTCAGCTCAGTAATGCATCTGTCTGAGGTTTTCTGTACAGATTTTGGACTCCCGAGGAGGTCAAGAGCTGTGTGCTGGGGAGCAGCGTTTAACTGGAGACTAAATATAGGCTGGCCACAACCAGGAGCAGAGGAATCAAAGGATCAAAGAGAGCGGCCGCTGTGGCGGTGAAGGCAGAGGGACGCGCTGCCCCCAGGCCGGAGCGGCCGCTGCGGAGCCAGCGCTGCCGAAAACCCACACGGAGGGAAGGAGAGGAGGCAGAGAGGCTGCAAACGAGCAAGCTGAACCGTTCTCCCTGCCAAGCACTTCAGCGTTTCATACACGAAGGCGTGTGGTGGTGTAAGCRGAGCGATTGCTCCAGCTCGGCTGACACGGTGCTGGGAGGCTCCGCGGAGCCTGGGCAAGGTCTGTCCCTGCCGTGTGTTTTGTTAGGAAGGAGGCAGAGCGAGCAAACAGCAAGGTCGTCGTGCCGTCAGAAACGCCTTGGAGGGAACTAGTGGAAAGGATTAACTTCGTGTTTAGAGACAGAACGTCGTGTTATCGAGTCTAAACTGAAGTGGAATGTTTGTGCCATTTTAATGATAATTAGGGGGAAAAAAAAGGAGAAAGGATTTTGTTTGGGCTAAAATCTTCCCTATTAGTTACACCCCAGTCATATAAATGCTGAAAACTTTAAAGGGAAATGAGCTACAACTGATCTGCTACTATAATGAACCTGATTTATTTTCATTGGTCCAGTTGTGAGGGATTGTTCGTTGCACTGATGAAAAAACTTTATTTATGATTCTTTCCATTGCTGACCTCAGGCAGGGATTCTCACATGTTTAGACTAGACRCCTCCTGCTAGATCATAATTTGCCCCTCATTCCTTAAAGCCCTAAGCACATGTGTATCCAAACTATGTTTCTACTCAAACAGTGCCCATCCAGTCTGGGAAAGGAATGAAAAAGAACGGCAGAGAYGAAATCAGACTTCGTGGGAAGCTCCTGTAGATTTCAGGCTCCATATCCCTGGAAACGTTCATTATTTTTAACCTGACATTTTTCCCCTCTGGTCTCCCGTTCAAAGGTGTGGGAACATAACCAGTGACTCGTGAATGTTTCGGAGATAGAATGGGCAGCTACAAATAACACTTTCTGTCATTTTACAGGTGAATCGCCCTCACCCTGGTGATCATCCTCTTCTTATTATCTATATGATTGGTGGAGTGACAGTCTCTGAGGTCAAAATGGTGAAGGACCTGGTAGCAGCACGCAAACCTGGTACCCAGGTAAAAAGAAAGAGCTCTAAATACACAGTTCCTATATGAACAAAACTAAGAACATTCATCAGATAAAGCTGGATGTAGCTTTGTTACCAAATCTACACCAGGTTGCAACCACATGGACAGTAATCGTGTTAAGAATTTGCTGTGAAATATCCATCACGAACAAGTGTTCAGACTCAAGGGTCTGTTTCTTCACATGTTAGAGTCAGCACTTAAACTTCAAACTCATGTTGGAGGCTTGGCCTTCAGCACAGATTAGCATTATACTGAAGGATATCTCATAATGTCTCAATAGATGCATGTGCTGGAGTTCTTTCTAAGCAGAAACATTTGCTGTCCAAGAGACTACAAGYTCCTGAGCAGAGCATCTACCAGGCATAGTGCAAGGATGCTCAGAAGGAGCYTCCCAAGGATCTGGGTACCAATTAGTGACCTGTCAGTGGTGATGGACCAGACTATTAAAAAGACTGTGTTCATCTTAGGATGCCAAAAATTGAATATTTCAGCTGAGGCCGAAGGGCAGAGTTTGCCGAGCAAACTGTGCTTTTGAACCCTCACAAGACTACCCCTATTACCCCTTTGCCCTCTCATTCCACTGCACTGATAAGTGACTTGCACCTGTCCTCTGATGTCTTGACAAACAAGATCCATGTCTGGATACCCTAAACACTGAAGCCCAGGCCATTTTCCTTTTGTTTTGCTTCCAAGATTAAAATGCCAGCTGCTCCCTGCATGCAGGAGACTGGGTGCAGCCACTGAGAGGTCAGCCCCATTGGACACCCTTCCCACAGCAACAAAACCAGCCCCTGTTCCCAAGGAGACTCTGGGCAGGGCAGTTCAGATGCAATCAGCAGGCAACATCTCACCAGGGTTTCTCAGAGGTTTTCTAGAAATTACCTATCCCTAGGAGAAGAATGGATGGGCCACAGCAGTACCTAAGATGTTAGAAAGTGTTAATTGTGAAGAAATGTGTACAAGACCAACCAGATGTCTGCTGGGTAGTGCAAATGTGAAGAGTAATCCAAAAACTGCAGAAAGATGCAAGAAGTGCTGGGTAACCAGCTGCCTCATACACATCAGTGTGATTTCCAAGGTGGCTTGTAAACGTCTTGTTTTCAGTTCCTGTGGAATTCAGTTGTAATTAGTGAGAAATCACTAGCAAGATGCAGCCAACCAACCCGAGCAACCCCCAGGTTTCACATGTGCTTTCCACATTTTACTTTTCTTTGCAAAGCAGTTTCAAGCCATGTTTTATAAGATTGAATACTAATTTTAACTATTTTTTTTATCTGACATCACACTTCTCCCCAATTAGCCTATTGCTAATCTCCCCAACACAGTGAATAAAATTCTTTCCCGTCTTGAACAGGGCTTGAGCTGTGACACACTGATGGACAAGTTAATCCGCTCCTTAAATGTATTAATATGCCTTGAAAGATAAGCACTGAGTTAACAAGCGAGCTGGTTGAAAACTATGCAGTAAGGCTTTTGACTAACTATCCAGGGGGAATTGAGGCTTGGCAGGGGTGACACAGGATCTGGTGTTGCTTTGCTTTGGCTTAACCCTGGTGGCAGGTCACCCTCTGAGGCAGATTCCTAAAGAATTTTAAGCTTTTACTGCATTTTGCCCTTTGTCCACATATGCCATGGTAGAGGTGAAAAGACTTTGGGGGAGAGTCTAGGGGAGGAAGAAAGAAAAAAAAAGAAGTGGTTGTTTAAGTAAGTCTCTTGTATAAAAATGTTTATGAGTTAGCTGGATTTACCTGGATTTTGGCACTACAGCTTGTGAATATGTGCCACCTGTTTGGGATTAATCTCTTTTCAAGAAGCCAGGCATTTGTCTAACCCGAGCCAGAGGGGAACAGAGCTGCTATTTTGTGGTGCTCAGGCAATCAGCTTCAGGCATCGGGGCAGGAGGGAAGCGCTGGCCCCACAGCTCCACCTCAAACAACTCCCTGGCATTGGCAGTCATGCCTGGCCCTGGAGAAGCGGAAAGATGTGTGGGTGCAAAAGCAAAGAACTGAGTAAGGTAACAGAAGAACTACCAGGATGCATTGATTATTCCAGCATTTGCTTCTGGCCCTCATAGCTCAGCTGTCCACGTGAGCAGCATCCCCTATGTAGAGCACRCAAGGCAGGCACAAAGTATTGCATAAGCAGAAGGTCTGCAAAGGCAATTTACTGTCCTGAGGAGCTTTACCTGAAAAAAATATTGCCATTTCTTTTCTGGACAGTTCACCCATTCTGTGTAAAAATGAGAGGACAAATAGTCACATTTATCTCCACGTGGAACCCTCACAGGTAGCAGGGGGCATGGAGAGAAGTCCCACACTATTTGGCTTTATCACTGCTCCTAAGTTAAAGTTGTGGTTCTTATTTTTCTGCCTGGGCTTGTTATCAGTTGCCCAAATCCCCTYATAGTTTAATGGTAGGACTCCAAGATGAAATTGCTTTTATCTGGCAGTGGCTGCTGTTGTTGTTTGGCTTGTAGACCAGAAGCCTGGGCATTGTGTCCCCTCATGTTTTTCAGGATGAAGCTGAGTGTTGAGGAGATGAGCGCATACTGTGTTATGCATTCTTACATAACGTCAGTAAGGAGGTGTCAGCCTTTGGCACCTGCAAATTACAGAAATAGCTTTTCAGCCATAGGAAGCAGGAGAGAGAATCAGTGTGAGTTTGCTGTGGATTGTGTGGCAAGATATGGGAAGGGGGAGAGCGAGGGGCAGACAATCAGCAGCACAGAAAAGATCTGTAGTAATCTAACTCCAGATTCTTTTCATTATTTGAACTGAAAAGATGAAAGAAAGAACAACAGAGAGTTGAAATGCAGTACTACCAAATGCTAAGCTGGAGGTGTCTTCTAAGTATTCCTTTAAAATCACCTGCACTATTAGACTCTCCAGGCCACGCATTAGAGCTCTGTGATGAAGAGCACAAGCAATCTGATAACTAATATGGGAAACACACATAAACACATGCGCGTGGTGTTGATGGTGCTTCTGCCTCTCCTTGCTTTGTGCCGAAGCAGCAAATGATTTTCAAGTGGCCTAGCAGAATAAATCCCCTGCCACATCTGCTTGCTAGCCATTAGTCCCCGCTCCAACAATAGTGCTGAGCGTGGTGCTTTGCAGGAGCAGGTGTCCCATGACTTTGRGAGCAACCTGACCCTGAGCTCGCTCCGCACACACTGGCTCCTTGATAGCTTGCCCTGCAGGCAAGCCCTTGCCCCACAGCCCTGCGTATTGCTCTTCACTTGAGAAAAATAGCTGCAGTGTGCAGCTACCAGGGCGCACAGCTCCCCTGCGGTGACAGCTCCCTTCATCGGGCCCAAACTGCGCTGGCGACTTAGCCAAGCAAAGGGTAACGTCCCAACAGTGTGCGAGGGTGGGCGCGGAGCACGACGTGCAGAACCAGGGGTGTCTGGTCAGAAGAGACATTTCTCCAGCGGGACTGGAGCTCTCTGGGCCCGGCCTCAGGAGGGACAGGGCTGCCGGGCAGAACTGGCTCCTGGTGGGGCTGGGTGTGTGGGACAGAAGCTGCTGCTTGAGGTGCCTGCGCAGCAGCGCCTCGCGGGACACCCAGCGGCAGCCGCACGGAGCCGCTGGGGAAGGTGCGGGCCCAAGCGAGGCCCAAGCGAGTCAAGGCACACATTCATTCAGGGAACAATGCCGCCAGTCATTGTGTTCCTGAGGAGAGTGAGCTGCTATTATCGGCCAGCAGACGCTGTCACTGGGCGAGTTGTGTTGCCCTGTCAGTAAGCAACAGAAACACACAACACAGCGAGTGTGGCATGAGCAAGCAACAAAGTTTGGGTGTGCACGTCCCATGCATGCTGCAATCAGTCTCAGACCCCTCAGTTTTGATATGCTGCTTCTTTCCCCCCTTCTCCAGGTGCTCGTGCTGACCCCAGCACTCCTGACACCACWGGGCGTTATCGAGATGTTGTTTGCCTCCAAGCATCTCCAGTCCGATGCTGATATGTGACGCAGGAGGATCTGTGGAGAAGATAAGTGATTGCCTTGGCTGGAAACATCAAAGCCTGGGTCCGCCACGCTTTCCAATATTCCCATCGCTGGAATGAGGTGAAGCAGCTGGGTACCTGGCTGCAGGGAAATATGTGAAGTTTACAGATAGCACTTAAAAATGGTTCAGTTGTTCAGTGACCAACACTCTCCTCTCTAAAGATAATATACCCTGACCTTCCCCCAGCCCTGTGCGATGCAAGCAAGGACAGCTGCTTGCAGTAATTCCCTAGAAAAGGGGAAGGTGAGAAGTCCCACCAGTCCCACCACCAATTCAGCCCAGGCTGCTGAATTTGCCCTCCCTGAGCAGACGTTTTCTCTGTGAGCAATCTTAGTGGTTGCTCCTGGTGAGAAATACTGCTGAGGGAGGAAGGAGGCTGATAAAACCCACCCTCTTGGTCACRTTACCTGGTGAAACACATGTGCCTTATGGAGCATCAGCAGCCCCTGCTCCTGCTTGGTCTCTCCCTGCCAGAGAGGCTTTCGTTCAACCCTGGTCTTACCAGCAGAGCAGCTGCCAGTGCACTGGTGCTCCCAGCTCAACCGGTGGGAGCAGAGAAACGGAGCCAGAGCCAGAGCGGAGTCACATGGATCCTTCTCTCTCAGATCCCTGGTTTCTGCTCTGGTTTCTCCACCCACAGCTCCAGGAGAAAAGACTGTTCCTGTTGGCACACTTCTAGTTATGCACAGTAGGACATATGGGCTGTGATGGTTTGATGTTAACCCGGAAAAATGTTCCTGTCACATGCATTTAAAAAAGGAAAGAAAAAAAAATGTTCCCCCTTCCAAGAGGCTGTGGTGGCAGATTCTTTATGAACAGCATGATTAGAGAACAGATTTGATTTGTGATCATGAAAGAGCTGCTACCAAACTCAGTTATGTAATTATTCTTCATAAAACTTTGATATAATCTAGGATGAAGAAGCATCTGCCAGTAGATACCATGAAACTTCAAAACTGCAGCATAAAATGGTGGAGCTGCAAAGCTTCATCCTCCTGGTTCATTCCAGAGACACAAAGACTACAGCTTACATGGAGAATGTGAATGTGAAATTATATATGAAATTTGCTCAATCGTAGCATTCTTTATTATGCCAAGCGAATAGATTAAAAAGGAAGTAGCTTTTTAACCTTTGTTCAATAGCTAGCTTAAGTTCTCTTAAATGTTTATAATGGTCTTCAGAAAAGGCTGCTTTTTGATTTAAACTCTCTCTTGAGTGGCTAACAGGGAACAATGAACTGATTATAAAGCAGGGACAATGTTGCCTCTATGGAAAAGAGATTTATAAGAATCGCTGTAGAATGGAACTTTGTGCTATGAAAAAATGAGAAATATTATGAGATTGTAATGTTAAAAGCTCCAGAAATATTTAACAGAGCAACTTGAAGGCAAGTAGCCAGTCCCTTTCTTTTTTGGTTTTTGTTTTGTTTTCATTCTGTACTGTTTATCTTAGAATATGGATGTTTTGGAAGTTATGCAGTCAATAAAGCAAAGGTGCTGCCTTTGAGCCAGGCTCATGCCCTGCTGCTCCCCTCAGCACAGGGGGCTGCAGGTGCCCGCCCAGCCTGTGGCCCCCTTTCCTTTTGCACTGTTCATCTGTCCCTCGGAAGCCAGAGCTGGTGTCCCGGGAGGCATCCGGGAGAGGCTCCCATCCTGCCAGCAGCAGAAGGGCCCTTCTCCTCCAGTGCTCATTGCCCACCTCCATCCACAGCCCCAGGGACCAAGGTGATCCCGTCTCTATCCGAGATGCTGCTTTCCCAAGACGATGGTGTCTAGCAGCTGTGGTCTCCTCTCCCTCACGTGCTCTCTGTCCTCTCCTCCCAGCCACTTGAGGACATCCTGCAGAGCACAATGAGAAGAGCTGGTTGCAGTGGACACTAATGCGGTGGCACTTCTTACAGGGGGAAGCAAATCCCTTGCCTGGAGGCAGGGGCTGTTTTCCAGGCTCCCCACATGAGGGACCTTTTCAGCCCACAGCCAGGTAGGTGGAGGTGCCTGCTGGGGCTCTGCTACCATCTTGTTCTTCTAGAACAGGCTGGCATGGAGCCTGTGCAGAGGCTCTCAGCTACTAAACAGCTCCATATCTGTAGGAAACAGCTGCAGTAGCTACACCTAACATGTGCTGGGGCAAGATGGGGCAATGCATGYTCTCCTGCCTGGCAAGACCTTTCCCTGGTTCCTTTGGCTGCTGAGGGACACGGCCACATGTAGGAGCAGCACAGAAGAGGCTTCACTTGTGCAAACGCCCTTCAGGGTGGTGTAGGACCACAGCAAGGAGTGTCCAACCTCTTTTTATGTGACCCCTCAACTAAAAAGAGATGGGGAAGGAGAAGCACAAGGCCACTCTGAGCAAGGGGGGTTGCTGCTAGAATAAGCTAAACAGTATTTGATGAGAAGCTCAGGCTGGATGGGCAGGCTCAGTATTGTTCATATCCTAGTCCTAAACCAGCTGGTGAGGCTGGGGTGGCAGCTCCTGCTCAGAGGAGCAGCAGCAGCAGCAGGACCTTGTCAGTGTTTCCCTACACCACGTGTCCTGGCTGTGTGCAACGTATGCAACGCGGAGAACACAACGTCCTCCCAGCAAGAGGAGGCACTAGGTGCTTACATCAAGTGCCCCATACATGAGCAAAACATGGCAGACCTGCAATAACTTGATTTACTTCTTCATTGCATCAGATTGCTCAATATCCAAAGCTGTTCTACCACCTTCTTGCCTTCTGCCAGTTTCGACCTAGTTTACATCTATCTTATTAGCTTTTTGGCAAAGAGATGTGAAGAATCCAGTTTTGTTTTGGAAGGTCTCTGCTTTTGCTGCTTTGTCTACTGAAAGAATTTCCTACAAGGGAGCTGTAAAAGGGCTATGAGAGCCTCCCCCCTGCAGATTGTGCTAATAAAGCAACAGTATGTTGACTGCCTTGAGAACACTGTCACTTCTGTCTCAGTGTTTCGTGGGTTATTAACAAATTGCTTCCACTACACATGAAAAACACACACACGAAACCATGCAATTCAAAAAAACAAAAATTTAATGTTTGAAACAGGCAGTAAGAATGCAAAGTCTGCTCCAGATGAGGAGTCAACTGTACACAAAATAAATAAGTTACAGTTTACACAAAAGCACAACCGGCTTTTTAAAGTGCATGTGAATAAGGCCTTTTGCCTGTGACCTCCATGGGCTCCACGCAGAAGACGAYGCAAAGCGGCTGCAGCGGCTCCGCTCGGAACGAGCGTCATTGCCCGGAGCCTGCGGCACGTTCCGCAGCAGAGCTGGATGCAGCGGGATCCTCTGCGCCYCTCGTGCATGGCAGAGGGGCAGGAGGAGGGGGGCATCCCCCCRGCCGCTGCCTCCATGGACTATCACTCCAAGGCTCCTTCCCAAGAGCTCCGGTGGGGTCATTTAGTCTGGACAGTGTTTTCTGGTTCTTTCAGACAGTAAAAAAGCTCACAGGTCACTTGCAATTAGATATGTCTACACCCTGTGCACGCTCGTTTTGCATACAAAGAGTCTGTTGAAATTGCTCAGCGATGATACAGCTAGTAAAAAATAAAGGGCCATTGTTTACAGTCTCCGTACCCAGTCACTTGTTCTACATGTACAGAAAATTTTCGTATTTGCTYGTTTGCTTGGAAATACATGGGTAATAAATGGCTCTGCTGTGCAATAAAATTAAACAGATATATCATGCTGTCCTTCATCCAAGTGAAAACACAGTAAGACTCAAGTGGTTACTTCTGAACAGTGAACTACAGTTCAGGCTATTTCCCTGCTCAAGTACAAAAGTTGAGAGTTACAGCTAAAAGTTTTTTGTTTTTTTTTTCCTTTTTTTCTGCATGAAGTTTGAGCCAAATCTTTCCCGTTGGAGAAACGACAACCTGAAAGATCATTTCATTTACTGTAAAGTATTTTCATTGGGAAATGAAACATGTTCCACAAGTTGCATCCCAGAACCATTTCAAGGATTCCCCCCTCCCCCTGTCTTCTTCAACCAATTCCTGGTTTCTGTAGCCGTTCAGGCAGCTACCTCAACCATCCCTTCTTTCCTTTTATTTCTTTTTCCTTGGACTCTAGAAGTGCCAGTGTTTCATTCCAGGTTTCACACTCAGGCCGAAATGTTGGGAAGATCAACCCCTCCGCTTGGCTCTGCTCCTAAACAGACGTGACAGTCCTCACTTTGGCAGACAGGGCTTGCTTAAACCTCCTCTTGAGGTCCTGCATGTTGGGGGATTTGGGCCGTGGGATAAGCGAGGTTCTCCGCCGCTCGGGCGTGCTGCTCGTTTGCTGCTTGCTGACCTCTCTGCACAGCACGTGGAAAGCGCTGAAGACGTCGTTGTAGTTTTCACTGACGGAGACTTCRTAGAAGGCGCAGCCCAGCACGTTGGCCAGCTGCAGTCCGTGCTGAGGCTCCACCTCCTTCACGTGCAGCAGGTCGGCTTTGTTGGCCACGATGACGACGGGGACGGAGCTTCCTGGGTGCAGCTGCCGAACGTGCTGGTAAAGGTGGCTGAGTAGCTCGTAGCTCTTGTAATCGGTTATGGAGAAGACGATCACAAGCGCGTCTGCCCAGCGAATGCATCTGTTCAGCTGCTCGTTGCAGTCCAGGCTGTGCTCGTGGATCTGAAAAGGCAATTGTCAGGAGTTAGGTGGTTGAAACGGAAAAAAAAAAGATTAAAGGAACTTGTCGTCAACATCTGTAAAGCCAAATGCATTTTATACTTTCAGACACATGCATTTGCATTTCAAGTACAAACCTAATCCAAGTGTGGCACATATATGTTTATGTTGATTCAGCTGCAAAAAGCTGGAACTTCACACTGGAGCTTGCTTTACTCAAATGGAAAAAACGACCTGAGTAGTTCTGCAYGCAGAGAAAGACTTTGTAGTTCCAGAGAATGGGAAATTAACTGGCTAGACAGTAAGTCTGGGGAGGCAAAGATATGAGCTGGAAGCATTTAGACCTGGAGAGCTGCCCAGTGCAAAAAGGCAGAAATCCAGCATTACTCAGGTCTATACATTCAAAACTTGTAACTTACAACATCCTAGCGAGCTAAGGCACAGCACAGGAGACCCAAGTTTCCACCACACGCATTTAGGAAGYGAATCTTTGCTGGGCTGTAGTCACGGCATTTCTCCTCACGTGTACCACATTCTCACACAACATTTTGTTCAGACAACATTGTGTCCTCTTATCTAATGTTTCTCCTATGTGAGAATAAGACACCTAACAAACAATGCAGCCCTACAGAAGTAATGGGCCTCCAGCGTACAAATGATTCACGGAAGGAGCGAGTTGTTTTCTTTTCCTGCCAGCACATTACGGGCACCTGGGACGTCTGGTCTGACTGGTTAAGAAGCAGGCTGCCAGCTCCACCACGCAAAGCCCGGAGCTCAGGGAGCTCTGTGCTCCGGAGAGGCCGCAATGAGGCAGCACGAGGAGGGCCACGCACGGGAGCAGAGCTGCCTTGCTGGGCTGTGTGCTCGTGTCTAGCTCACCTGGACGCCGGGAGTGTCCTGCACTTGGATAGCCAGCGTTTCTCCATCTATCTGGATGTGTCTGCTGTAGAGATTACCTGGTGGCAACAGCAACAGTATCACGGTTACAGTCACAGCTCCCCGAACAGGCAAGTGCTGCTTTGGGAGGGAATCAGAAGCAGTAGCAGCCCGATGCACCCTGGGAGCTGTGCAGGGAAAGGGACATGGCTACCCGCAAACGGAGGGACCAGGGTACAAATTTGGTCCTTGTAGCAACCCATAAATCTGTGATGTTACCAGAAACCTGGGATTTAATCTGCACTGGCTTGTTTTGAAGCCTGACATTTAATATTATGCATCTTGGAGCTTAATTGCTTCTTACAGCCTGACTTAAGTATAGCGGTAACTGTGCAAAATAACCAACTTTTAATATAGAACAGCAGTTTGTCCATCAACATTTTTGCTTTGGCAACCTTTTCTCTGCAAGGCTGTGCGTCAGCTCCCTGCTGCCTGGCTGCTCAGATTCACTGGCTGCTTGTTTGTGGGGGTGTTCTCCTCCTCTCCCCTAAATCATTTCCTCAGCAGATTTCTGTGCGTGTAAGTTAACGCTGCTTTACACTTAGGCTATGCTGCACTCAAGCAAGTGCAAAACGCTGCCTCTTCACCTTCCCCATTGAGCTGGCACTGCCCAGGTCTTTTTGCTGCTAGCATTGAGCTCTGGGCTAAAATACCAGGTTTGCACGGTGTTTCCTTGCTTTAGAGAAAGGGCTTCTTCCAGGCAGGCTGTTTTCTCCATTTCAAGCAAATCCCGGCGGAGCATGCGAGCAGTAAGGGGGAGCTGCGGCTCCCTGCGGCTGCTCTGCCTTGCCCTGACCCCCGAAATACCCGCTGCGAGTGGCGCCGCTTAAGTCCTCTCCTTCTGCCTCAGGGGGCCGGCTCTGCGCGCCTATTCCCGGGGCTCGCACCCCCCCTCTAAGCGCTTTGGATTCCCTGTCCCGGCGGGACAAAGCGGGGACCGGGACTGCGGCCGGGGCGGAGCGGAGCGGGCGGCGCTGCCGGGCGCGCCCCGACGGGACGGGACGGGTCGGGTCGCGACGGGACGGGACGGGTCGGGACGAGGCCGGGACGGGTCGGGACGAGGCCGGGACGGGTCGGGACCGGCTGGGCAGCGCTCACCTGCGTTCCGCTCGTAGTCGCCGATGAAGCGCCGCGTGAGGAACCGCACCACGAGCGCTGCGGGCAGCCCAGAGAGAGGCAGCGTTAGCGGGGCGCGAGGCCGTCCCCGGTGCCCCCGGCGCCCCCGGCGCCCCCGGCCCGGCCTCACCTGTCTTGCCCACGCCGCTGCCCCCCACCACGGCGATCTTGACGAGGCGGGGGCGGGCGGCGGGCGGCGCGGGGCAGCCCTCGGCGCACTCGGCGATCGTGCACATGCTCTGCGTGAGGCGCATCGCCCCGCTCCGGATCGCCCCGCTCCGGATCCCCGCGCCCGGGTCCCCGCGCCCGGCCCCGCGCCCGGGTCCCCGCTCCCGGCTCCCGGCCCCGCGCCCCGCGGCGCTTTTCTGGGCGCCCCCGCAGAGCCCTCCCCGCCGCCGCGGCGGCCACTCAGCGCCCGCGCCGCCCAGCCCGAGCCCGAGCCCGAGCCGCGCCCA